CTCTCCACTGTCCCCATCAAACACTCCCAGGATAGGGACAGCACAGGGTTAGATGCAGAGTAAAGCTCCCTCTACACTGTCCCCATCAAACACTCCCAGGACAGGGACAGCACGGGGTTAGATACAGTAAAGATCATGTTGATGTTGGTTGGCTCGCCGAGCTGGTTTCTTGTTCCGCAGACGTTTCGTTACCGTGCTTGGTAACATCCTCTGATGAAGCGTCGGTGTGTTTTCCCGCCTGGTTTTTAAACTCTGGGGTCCGTTGCGATGGATTGCCTCACTTCCGGGTTTCCTCCGTAGTGGAATGTATATGGGGTTGAGTTCATTGTGTTTATTAATAGCATGCTTCGTGGAGTGCCATGCTTCCAGGAATTCTCGTGCTTGTCTCTGCCTAGCCTGTCCCAGGATCTTGGTGTTGTCCCAGTGTCCCCATCAAACACTCCCAGGATAGGTGAAAGATGGGGTTAGAGACAGGGGAACACTGTCAACACTGGGTGCCTGATCAGTGGTATAACCCTTATCAGCTCACTGTCCCTGTAACACAGGGTCCACATGGGCCCTACCTCACTGTTTCAGTGAAATATCTCCCTATCCTGAATATAAAAACCAGCTGTCTGTCAAACCAGCTATACATTGATACAATCAGAGCGTTGCTGTTTGACGGAAGGAAACCATTCGGCCCATCAGGTTCACATAGTGCATTCAGCCATCTGCATTCTCTGAGCTGCCCAATTCCTATTGCCCCGTGGTCTAGTGTATTATCTAGTGGGGACCTGGGTTTGAATCCCACGAGGGCAAATTTTGGTCCAATTTTGAATTTTATAAATATCTGGAATTAAGAGTCTCATGATGACTGTGAAACTGTTGTCCGTTGTTGGGGGAACTCCCCATCTGGTTCACCAGTGTCCTTTAGGGAAGGAAACTGCCATCCTTACCTAGTCTGGCCTACATGTGACTCCAGACCCACAACAATGTGGTTGGCTCTTAACTGCCCTCTGGGCAATTAGGAATGGGCAATAAATGCTGCCTGGCCAGCGACGTTCATCCTGAGAATGAATAAGTTCGAAAAAAAACCCACTCACATGATTGAGAATTGGAACATTTGAGCTCCTGTTTAAGTTCCCCGTGTAACTCCATCAACAGAACCTACCATAGTCCTGAGGAGGAAGTCTGTGAAAAGTCACTACCTTTGCCCTCGCGTCATTGTATTGTTGACGGAATCGATTGCCGACAGTAATGCCGTGTGTATTTATTGACAGCCACAGAACAGTTTGCCTGACATTGTGATCTGGATGTTGCAAGGAGACCAGCGAACTGCCTATTACCGAATTCCTGCACACGAGGTTCTCTACTCCCGGAGAGCTCCGTACTGCTCCGGGAAACACTGTGGACAGATTCAGACAATCTTCATGAAGGTGAGGGGCTGACGGGGGTGAAGAGTTTCCTGTATTTGTATTGAAGCCCACTGGAGCCAAGATTCTCGGGATAAATTCAAACCTGAGATCTGGGTAACCAGGTGTAGAGCTGGATGAACACAGCAGGCCAAGCAGCATCATAGGAGCAGGAAGGCTGATGTTTTGGGCCGAGACCCTTCATCAGAAAAGGGGGAGGGGAAGGAGGTTCTGAAATAAATAGGGAGAGAGGGGGAGGCGGATAGAAGATGGATAGAGGAGAGGATAGGTGGAGAGGAGACAGACAGGTCAAAGAGGCAGGGATGGAGCCAGTAAAGGTGAGTGTAGGTAGGGAGTTAGGAAGGGGATAGGTCAGTCCAGGGAGGACGGACAGGTCAAGGGGGCGGGATGAGGCTAGTAGGTAGGAGATGGGGGTGCGGCTTGAGGTGGGAGGAGGGGATAGGTAGGAGGAAGAACAGGTTAGGGAGGCGGGGACGAGCTGGGCTGGTTTTGGAATGCGGTAGGGGGAGGGGAGATTTTGAAGCTTGTGAAATCCGCATTGATACCATTGGGCTGCAGGGTTCCCAAGCGGAATATGAGTTGCTGTTCCTGCAACCTTCGGGTGGCATCGTTGTGGCACTGCAGGAGGCCCAGGATGGACTTGTCGTCTGAGGAATGGGAGGGGGAGTTGAAATGGTTTGCGACTGGGAGGTGCAGTTGTTTATTGCGAACCAAGCGTAGGTGTTCTGCAAAGCGGTCCCCAAGCCTCCGCTCGGTTTCCCCGATGTAGAGGAGGCCGCAACGGGTACAGCAGATGCAGTATACCACATTAGCAGATGTGCAGGTGAACATCTGCTTGATGTGGAAAGTCTTCTTGGTGCCTGGGATGGGGGTGAGGGGGGAGGTGTGGGGACAGGTGTAGCACTTCCTGCGGTTGCAGGGAAAAGTGCCGGGTGTGGTGGGGCTGGAGGGGAGTGTGGAGCGGACAAGGGAGTCACGGAGAGAGTGGTCCCTCTGGAAAGCAGATAAGGGTAGGGAGGGAAAAGTGTCTTTGGTGGTGGGGTCGGATTGCAGATGGCGGAAGTGTCGGAGGATGATGCATTGGATCCGGAGGTTGGTGGGGTGGTATGTGAGGACGAGGGGGATTCCTTTTTGGTTGTTATTGCGGGGATGGGGTGTGAGGGATGAGTTGCGGGAGATGTGGGAGACACGGTGGAGAGCGTTCTCGACCATTGAGGGGGGGAAGTTGCGGTCGTTGAAAAATGAGGACATCTGAGATGTTCGGGAGTGGAATGCCTCATCCCGGGAGCAGCAGCGGTGGAGGCGAAGGAATTGGGAATAGTGGATAGCATTTTTGCAGGAAGGTGGGTGGGAGGAGGTGTATTCTAGGTAGCTGTGGGAGTCGGTGGGCTTGAAATGGATATCGGTTTCCAGGTGGTTGCCAGAGATGGAGACAGAGGGGTCCAGGAAGGTGAGAGAGATGTTAGAGATGGTCCAGGTGAACTTAAGGTTGGGGTGGAAGGTGTTGGTGAAGTGGATGAACTGTTCGAGCTCCTCCTGGGAGCACGAGGCGGCACTGATACAGTCATCAATGTAACGGAGGAAGAGGTGGGGTTTAGGGCCGCTGTAGCTACGGAAGAGGGATTGTTCCACGTAACCTACAAAGAGGCAGGCATAGCTTGGGCCCATGCGGATACCCATGGCCACCCCCTTTGTCTGTAGGAAGTGGGAGGAATTGAAAGAGAAGTTGTTGAGGGTGAGGACGAGTTCGGCTAAGCGGATGAGGGTGTCAGTGGAGGGGGACTGGTCAGGCCTGCGGGACAGGAAGAAGCGGAGGGCCTTTAGGCCACCTGCATGGGGAATGCAGGTGTATAGGGACTGGACATCCATGGTAAAGATGAGGTGTTGGGGACCGGGAAATCGGAAGTTCTGGAGGAGGTGGAGGGCGTGGGTGGTGTCACGGACGTAGGTAGGGAGTTCCTGGACCAAGGGGGAGAAAATGGAGTCTAGATAGTTGGAGATCAGTTCGGTGGGGCAGGAGCAGGCGGAGACAATGGGTCGACCAGGGCAGTCAGGTTTGTGGATTTTGGGAAGGAGATAGAAGCGGGCAGTGCGAGGTTGGGGAACGATGAGGTTGGAGGCCGTGGGTGGGAGGTCACCTGAGGTGATGAGGTTGTGGATGGTTTGGGAGATGATGGTTTGGTGGGGTCATGATCAAGGGGGCGGTAGGAGGCGGTGTCGGAGAGTTGGCGCCTGGCCTCGGCGATGTAGAGGTCAGTGCGCCATACTACAACTGCGCCTCCCTTGTCCGCGGGTTTTTATGGTGAGGTTGGGATTGGAGCGGAGGGAGCGGAGGGCTGCACGTTCTGTGGGGGAGAGGTTGGTTTGGGTGAGAGGGGTGGAGAGGTTGAGGCGATTGATGTCTCGACGGCAGTTGGAGATGAAGAGGCCGAGGGAGGGTAGGAGGCCTTGGGGTGGTGTCCAGGAGGAGGGGGTGTGTTGGAAGTGGGAGAAGGGGTCAGTAGAGGGAGGGTTAGGTTCACAGTTGAAGAAGTAAGCGCGGAGGCGGAGGCGGCGGAAAAACTGCTCTATGTCCAAACGTGACCGGTATTCGTTGATGTGTGGGTGGAGGGGGACAAAAGTAAGCCCTTTACTGAGGACTGACCGTTCGTCCTCAGTAAGGGGTAGGTCTGGGGGGATGGTGAAGACCCGGCAGGGCTGGGTGCTATTGTCTCCCCTGGAGTTGCTGGCTGTGGAGGCTGTGGGCGGAGCGACGTCGGCGTCGGCTGTGGGCAGGGAGACGTCGGCGTCAGCGGTGGGCGAGGTTGCGTCCGCGTCGGTGATGGGCGGAGTGGTGCCGGCGGTGGGCGGAGCGGGGTAGGCGGCGGCAGCAGCGGTGACGGTAGGCGCGTCTTCAGTGTCTGTGATGTTGCTCTCGGAAATGGAGGCGGTGGCATCAGCAGCGGTGTCGATGGCGTTCACTGTCCCGGAAGTGGGGTACCCAGCAGCGGCGGATGTGACATCATCTGTGGGTTCTCCGACAGTGGCCTCATGGCCAATGGCGGCGGGCACATTGTGGGGAAGGTCCTGGGTAGGGTTGGGGATTTGGGGGGGTGGAGGAAGCCCGTTTTGGGTGGTAGGCACCAGTAAGTTTACTGTACTTACGGTTTTTAGTGTCCAATAAAGCTGAGTAGAATTGTGAGTTCAGGTTGCGGCTCCTACGAAGAAGGATTGGGTTTCAGCTGTAGTCCTGTGGATGATACGTTATTCATAGAATCCCTACAGGCCCTTCAGCCCAACAAGTCCACACTGACCCTCAGAGCATCCCACCCAGACCCCATCCCCTATAACCCACCTAATCTACACATCCCTGAACACTACAGGCAACTTAGCATGGCCAATCCACCCTAACCTGCACATCTTTGGACTGTGGGAGGAAACCGGAGCACCCAGAGGAAACCCACACAGACACGGGGAGAATGTGCAAACTCCACACAGACACGGGGAGAATGTGCAAACTCCATACAGACACGGGGAGAATGTGCAACCTCCATACAGACAGTCGTCCGAGGGTGGGATCAAACCCGGGTCCCTGGCGCTGTGAGGCAGCAGTGCTAACCACTGAGCCACCGTGCTGTCAGACTGTGTCTAGTCAGATACAGGCAGAGTGCTGCACTGTCACAGATACTGTTCTCAGAGGAAATTTAAACTCAGACCCTGAGGCACTGCACATGGCTAACCCTGCTGCTTCTTAGTACCATAAACCTGGGTTCGATTCCACCCTCGGGCAACTGTCAGTGTGGAGTTTGCATGTTCTCCCCATGTCTGCGTGGATTTCCTCTGGATGCTACAGTTTCCTCCCACAGTCCAAAGATGAGCAGGTTAAGTGGCTTGGCCAGGGGAAGTGCGGGGTTACAGGGATAGGGTAGGGGGTTGGGTTGCTCTTCAGAGGGTCAGTGTAGACTCAATGGGCCAAATGGCCTGCTTGCACACTGTCGACATTCTGCAATTCTGTGTGTGAATATAAAGATCTCACGCAGTCATTCTGAGGATGAGCTAATGATTTATTCCTGTTGATGCTTATAGCATTAATTCCCACAGCCAAGCTTGCAGAGGAACAGTGTTGAGTTACAGGTTGTGGGTACTTGTGGTGTGCACATTAGCTGCTGTCTCTCTGATTTTCTTTCTAACTTGGTTAGGAGAGGTTTCCCAATCTCTCAATGTTGTGATATATAAAGGCAACGTTTTACTTCTATGGCATAACAGCAAAAACTGCGGATGCTAGAAATAGAACAAAGAAAATTACAGCACAGGAACAGGCCCTTTGGCCCTCCAAGCCTGCGCCGAATCTGAAGCAAATCTGAAGCAAAAACAGAAAATGCTGCAGAAACTAAGCAGGTCTGACAGCGTATTTGGAGGGAGAAGCAGAATCAACGTTTTGAGTCCGGTGACCCTTCATCAGAACTCCACCCCACTCCACAGACCTGCTGAGTTTCTTTAGCAATTTCTGTTTTTGTTTGTTTCTGTGACCTTCAGTGTCAAGATCAAGTTATTTAATCCATTCCTCTATCATCCTTGAGCAGGATGTAGATGAGCCACCTTTTAGGTCTATGTAGCAAGTGTGGTGTATATACTTCTAAGTGAAAATGAGTTCTGGATTCTTGTTGTTGATTTTTGGGCCAGATGGTGACATAGTGTCAAAACGCATCCGGTTCACTAATGTCCTTCAGGGAAGGAAACTGCCATCCTTACTTGGTCTGGCCTACATGTGACTCCAGACCCACAGCAATGTGGTTGACTCTTAACTGCCCTCTGGGCAATTAGAGGTGGGCAATAAATGCTGCCTGGCCAGCGATGCCCTCATCCCGTGAATGAATAAAGCAAAAAAAAGCTCCAATTCAGTAATCCAGAGGCCAGGCTAATGCTTTGGGAACATGGGTTCAAATCTCACTATGGCAGATCTTAGAATTTATATTCAATTAAAATAAAACCTGGAATTCTAAAACTGGTTTAATTTATCTGATGATAGCATTGCTGGCTGGGCATTTATTGCCTGTCCTTAGTTGCCCTGGAGAAGGTGGTCTTGAACTGCTTTCTTGAACCACTGCAGCCCATGTGCTGTAGGCTCTCACTGCCTCAGGAAGGCAGCCAACATAATCAAAGACCCCTCCCACCCCAGTTATAATCTCTTCCAATCTCTTACATCAGGTAGAAGATACAAAAGCTTAAGCACATGGACCAACAGATTCAAGGCCAGCTTCTTTCCTGCTGTTTTAGATTTCCGAGCGGACCCCTCAAATTTCAAATCTAACGTTGGTCTCGCTGTTTGTGCACCTTCTCTGCAGCAGTAACATTATATTCCTCGCTCTGTTCTACTACCCTAATGCATTTTGTTTGGTATGATCTGCCTGTACTGCACGCAAAACAAAACTCTTCACTGTAGTTAGGCACATGTGACAATAATAAATCCAATCAAATCAAACGCAGTGTTCCTCTGGATGATGAGAACAACATCGATCACAGAACAAATGGCCCGATTGGATTGGGATAATCTGAGGCTGGATTTATACTGGAGTATCACGGAACTACCTGAGGAAGTGGTGGATAGGGGTACAGTTACAATGTTTAAAAAACATTTGGATAAGTGCATGATTAGGAAAGGTTTGGAGGGATATGGAGCAAATGTAGGTAAGTGGGACTAGTTTAGTTTGAAAACGTGGACTGTTTCTGTGCTGTATGGCTATGATGCTATTAAGATTTGAGGAACTTGGGTTTTGATAACTTGGGGCAATAGGAATATAGGACTGGCTTTTATTTTTTATTCATTCATGGGATGAAGGAGATGCTGGCTAGACAGCATTCATTGCCCATCCCTAATTTCCCAGAGGGCAATTCCAAGACAACCACATTGCCATGGGTCTGGAGTCACATGTAAGGCAGACCAGGTAAGGATGGCAGTTTCCTTCCCTAAGGGACATTAGTGAACCAGATGGGTTTTTCCCGATAATTGACAATGGATTCGCAGTCATCGTTAGATTCTTAATTCCAGATATTTATTGAATTCAAATTCCACCATCTGCCATGGTAGGATTCGAGCCCAGGTCCTCCAGAACATTATCTGAGTCTCTGGATTAACAGTCAGTGATAATACCACTAGGCCAGTGTCTCCCCGCGAAGGCTCTACACGGATCCAATGGACTGAATGGTCTCCTGTGAAATAGTAACTCTCTCAGTAAATGTAGAGTTTGTTTGACAGACAGATATTTTTTATATTAAGGATAGGGAGATATTTCACAAAGCTAGTGTGGGAGGGCCCATGTGCATCTAACCAGCTACCTTCTTGGACATCCATTGGTACAGCAGAGTTTGGGAACTGAGGGTTGTGCTCTATCCACTAGAGTGAGGCAGACTGAGCAGATTCTTGAGCAGTGATTTTCTACCGGTCCTGTATTTTGGTGTGTTTGCGGTTCACTACTTGTCCTTCCTCCACAGCATCCACGGAACAGCTCCAAATTCGATAAGATCCCGGGCCAGGTACGAGTGCGGATCTGGTTCGGGTTAGCAGCAGATAACAAGGAATTTAACCAGTTCACCGAGGGCAAGCTGTCAGTGTTTGCAGAAACGGTGAGTGCCACTGGTTTCGGTGAGTGATCTGTGTTAGTAATGGCTGTGGCCCTCTGTTTCCCTGGTTAGTGATACCTAACAGTGAATACTAGAGTCAAACATTACCTGGGATAATCCACGCTACATTCTAAAGTGGCCTGAGGTATTCAGCGTGATGTAGAATAATCCAGAACAGTAAATACGATGTTCTTGAATATCTTGATTGTAAATGCTGTGTTCAAACGTGGTGTGAGGTGGGAAGTTAGATGTACTAGAATAACCTACACAGTAAATACAGTGTTTGCAAATGATTTGGTATAGTGTTTATTTTAAATTCCTGGATAATCTGAATCAGCAAATATTGTGATCCAGAGTGGCATGGGTGTGAATATCTTGTATTTGAGAATGTGATGAGACAGCAAGTGTGTTCTCGAACATCCAACATTGCATTCTGAAACAGCTGTACTGGAGACTGAGTGCACTTCTTAGTGCACAGTGACTTGGGCTAGCTGTATTTGTATTCTAGAGCAACCAGAAAGCTTCAGCAGTGTGTTCTAGAATAACTTTGGGGTTGTGAATGCTGTGCTTCAGAATACTGGATTTTAACGAACGTGTTCTAGAATAACATGAGGCGTTCATTGTTGTGCTCCAGGCTGGCCTGGGGACAGCAGTTGTTAGTTCTAGAGTGAATCTCGATAGTACATCCCGCAATTTAGAACAAAGCGAGAAGTCACACGACACCAGGTTATAGTTAATAGGTTGATATGAATTCACAAGCTTTCGGAGCATCGTCCCTTCGTCAGGTGAAGACTTCATCTGATGAAGGACCAGCACTGCAAAAGCTTGTGATTTCAAATCACCTGTTGGACTATAACCTGGTGTTGTGTGACTTCTCACCTTGTCGAACACCGGCACCTCCACATCAATCTAGAACAATCTGATGCAGAGTTTTCCCAGGGTTAGTGATTGTGGCATCCAGAACGATTGCAAATGTTTTCAGGAACAAAAAACAAAGTTGCTGGAGAAGCTTCCTCAGTTCTGAGGAAGGGTCACCAGACCCGAAACGTTAACTCTGATTCTTTCCTTCACAGGTGCTGAGCTTTTCCAGCAACTTCTGTTTTTGTTCCTGATTTACAGCATCCACAGTTCTTTCGGTTTTTGTTTTGCAAATGTTTTCACTTTGGTCATCCTGCCCAGCTCCTGTTACATTTGTGCCAGTCTGCTGGGGCATTTTATTTTTAATATTCACTTGCGGAACAGGGGCATCGCTTGCTGGCCAACATTTATTGCCTGTCCCTAATTGCCCTTGAGAAGTAGGCCACTTTGTTCTGGATGGTGAGAAGCTTCTTGAATCTGGTTGGGTTTACATTTTTTTTTGTTGAGGGTATGCTTGGTAAGAGTCAATGCCCTCGGGGTTTGGATAATTTGGGCTGTACAATTCCGCTTGGGGGAGGAATGAGCCTAATGGGTCCTTCTTTCTTGAGCAGTACGAAAACCAGACCAAGTTGGCCCTCGTGGGGAACTGGGGAACGACTGGACTCACCTATGCCAAATTCTCCGACGTCACTGGAAAGATCAAGCTTCCCAAAGATTCCTTCCGGCCTTCAGCGGGCTGGGCTTGGGCAGGAGACTGGTTCGTCTCTCCTGAGAAAACGTGAGTATGTCTTTCAGGCCAGGGGTTGGGGTTGCTGGGTTTGAGAATGTGCAGTGCAGCTTCTGGATCTCGGTGATTGGACAGCTTTGCCCTTCCAATCAGGCTGAAGAGACCAAGCTCCGCTTTGAAACTCTCACGGTGCGCCAGGAGCATGGCCGCACTGGCTATTACCTCAGACCCGTTGAGGCGTCTCGCTGGTAGAAGTCTACAACACCGGAGAAAAGGCCCTTCGGCCCATCGAGTACACGCTGTTCACGTGGAAATTGGTCCCTCAGGTATCAATGGGTGGTGTTTAAGTCAGGAGATTAAGGGTCAAAGTCCCACAGCAGGCCTTACATGCAAGCTGATGTGGTACTGAGGGAGAGCCACTGTGCCAGAGGCACTGCCAATGCCACTGAATTGGTAAATCGTAGCTCCTGTTCACCCCTCTTGAGTGAGCATTGTCTTGGAGGATGGGGATAGGGTTCTCTCTCGTATCCCAGCCGGTATTGGCCACTCCATGGAAACATAAAAACACCAGCTGGTTATGACCCTGTTGCATTATTTTTTGGGATCTTGCTATGCATTCGTTGGCTCCTGCACTTGCTGCTGTATAGCAGCGAAGGCACTTCAAGCATTGTTTCATGGGTTGTGGAACTCTTGAAGGTATTATAGAGAGGGGCATCCTTGCTGTCCTGTTCTGTGAGATCACAACCCCCCCACCCCCACCACTTCACCCCAAGGAGGGATCACTTGGTCAGAATTGATCAGTTGCATCGCTATCATCCCAAGAGGGATCCAGGGAGTCTCTGCTAACCTCTGACCAAGGAACCGAGCCTGCGTACATGCAGTAGCAGATGTCACTAATTTCACCATTGGCACACCTCGCACAAGCTCCTAACTCTTATTTCACCCAGAAGGGTAGTGCAATGTCTTTGTTGCTGGAGTCCTGTGATCTGGATTTCTGAAGAGTATATTTGTTGCAGTGTTTAGTTCGATCTCTGGTCGCCCTATTCCCTCTGTTAACACACACACTGGCCTATGGCTGACGTTACTGGGTTGATGGGGGTAAGGGGATATAACATATTAACATATTTCGGGGCATTCTCACTTACAGCTTGCTCTACGGTGTTGATGCTGGTCACATGACATTCGTTGAGGAAGTGTTTGAAAATCAGGCCCGGTTGCCGGGGGGACAGTGGATCCAAATGTCTGAGGCCTACACTGACATAGTGAGTACTCTCACAGAATGATAGTATATTATAGCCCAGAAGGTAGCCATTCATCTTGCTGATAGCAGCTTTTCTCCACCCAAAGGAGTGGCCTAAAGAGACCTGATGAGGGGTCCCGACCTGAAACATCGACTCTCCTGCTCCTCTGATGCTGTCTGACCTGCTGTGTTCCTCCAGCTCCACACTGTGTTGAGTCTGATTAGTTCTGCTCCTTTCCCCATAGAATCATTGCAGTGCAGGAAGAGTTTATTCGGCCCATCATAGAATGGCAGAATCCTTACAGTGTGGAAGCAGGCCATTTGGCCCATCAAGTCCACATTGATCCTCCAAAGAACATCCCAGCCAGACCCACCCCCTATCCTGTCCCTGCAATTTTTACGTCTAACCCAACTAACCTGCACATCTGTGTACTCTATGGGCAATTTAGCATGGCTAATCCACCCAACCTGCACATCTTTGGACTGTGGGAGGAAACTAGAGCACCTGGTGGAAACCCACACAGACACGGAGAGGATGTGCAAACTCCACACAGGCAGTTGCCCGAGCAAGGGATCGAAACTGGGTCCTTGTTGCTGTGAGGCAGCAGTGCTAACCAATGAGCCACCCATGCTGGTCTGCACTTGTTCTCCAAAGGATTAATCTCTACTAATTAGTTTGGAATTTGTGCCCTGTCTCATTCCCGATCCTTTCACGTGCGTCAGTATGTTCAGCTGCCTTCTTCAGCCTAGGTCCCTCATGGTTTTGAAATACTTCAATCAGACCTCCTCTTGGCTTTCTGTACTCCAAGGATAACAGTTCCAACCACTCAGTTTCCATCTGCACAACTGAAACTCCTCAATCCTGGAACTGTTCTTGTAAATCACTTCTGCACTCTCTCAAATGTCTTCACATCATCCTTATAATGTGGCACCCACAAACGTACGCAGTACTCCAACTGGGGGTGAACAAGTGTCTCATACCAGTTCAATATCACCTCCATGTCCCTTTTAATAAAGCCAAGGACACTGTGTGTTTTATCAAGTGCTGTCTCCAACTGTGCTGCCACCTTCACTGATTTGTGCACTCAGGTCCCTCCGCGACTGCACCCATCAGACCATAAGACATAGGAGCAGAAATTAGGTCATTTAGCCCATCGAGTCTGCTCCATCATTCAGTCATGACTGATAAGTTCCTCAACCCCATTCTCCCACTTTCTCCCCGTAACCGTTGATCCCCTTGATAATCAAGAACCTATCTATCTCAGTCTTAAATGTACTCAATGATCTAACCTCCACAGCCTTCTGTGGCAATGAATTCCATAGATTCACCACTCTCTGGCCGAAGAAGTTTCTCCTTATCTCTGTTCTAAAAGGATCTTCTCTTTACTATAAGGCTGTGTCCTCAGGTCCTAGTCTCTCCTACCAGTGGAAGCATCTTCCCAACATCCACTTTGTCCAGGCCATTCAGTATTCTGAAAGTTTCAATTAGATCCCCTGACATCCTTCTACAGTCCAATGAGTATAGTCCCAGAGTCCTCAAATGTTCCTCATATGTTAAGCTTTTCATTCCTGGGACCATTCTCGTGAACCTCCCCTGAACCCGCTCCAGGGCCAGTACATCCTTCCTGAGATTTGGGGCCCAAAACTGCGCACAATATTCCAAATGTGGCCTGAGCAGAGCCTTATAGAGCCTCAGTAGTACATCCCTGCTTTTATATTCAAGTCCTCTCAAAGTAATAGAATTTTCTTTTCACATATTTCTTCAATTCTCACTGCCGAGTTACCATTACAATTTTTCCCTCTTCCCTTTGAAGTTGTTTTTCAGGTCAAGTCCCAGCAACATGTTGAGTCAAAGAAAACTCATCTCCTCACCAGATCTTTTTTTTCACCCCTTTACTCATTCACAGGATGAGGGGGTCGCTGACCAGGCAGCATTTATTGCCCATCCCTAATTACCCAGAGGGCAGTTAAGAGTCAACCACATTGTTGCAGGTCTGGAGTCACATGTAGGCCAGACCAGGTAAGGATGGCAGTTTCCTTCCCTAAAGGACATTAGTGAACTAGATGGGATTTTCCAACAATCGACAATGAATTCATAGTCATCGTTAGACTCTTAATTCCAGATATTTATTGAATTCAATTCAATTTTAAATTCCAGTATCTGGAAGGATTCAAACCCAGGTCCCCAGGACATTATCTGGGTCTCTGGATTAACAGTCCAGCAATAATACCAATAGGCCATCACCTCCCCCACTTATACTGACAAGGACTGACGCTGGCCAGGTGTTCAGTTCCGTCTCTCTCTGTCAATGTCGTCACCAGATCTTTTGCCTATCCACGTCGTCTGGTCGCAGAGCCTTCTGATTTCTCCCCGTTTTGCTCTGTGAAAATCGTAGCACAAAATTTTGAACATAAGAGCAGAAGTAGGCCAATCAGCCCATCGAGTCTGCTCCGCCATCCAATGAGCACCACACCTTAGGAAGGATGTTTTATGTCTGGACGGAATACAATGCAGATTTTTAAGGATGATGCCTGGATTTCAGGGGTTAAGGATTAGACAAATTAGGCCTTTATTCCCTAGAAAGTTAGATGATTAAGGGGAAATCTAATTGAGGTTTTCAGGATATTAAGAGGGAGAGACCAGGTAGATAAAGATAAACTATTCCCACTGGTTGAAGATTCTAGAACTAGGGGGCATAGTATAAGAATTAGGAGAAATGTTAGAAAGCACTTCTACACTCAAAGGGTAGTGGAGATTTGGATCTCTCTTCCTCAAACGGTGGTCAATGCTAATTCAGTCATCACATTTAAGTCTGAGGGAGACAAACTGTTATTAAGTAAGGGATATTGGCTCAAGGCAGGCGTATAGAGTTAGGCCAGAGATCAGCCATGATCTTATGGAATGACAGAGCACCTCAAGGGGTTGAGTGGCCTACTCCTGTTCCACAGTTCTGAGAGCATAGCTGATCTGATAATGTTCAACTCCACTTCAATTTCCTCTGAACCTGTTCTGCTGTGAGGAGGACAATTCTAGATTGTCTCGTTGTCCCAGGATGCTCCTACATCTTGTATATGCCAATGGTATTTAATCATCAATGAGAAATGGTCCTTTCATAGAGTTACTGAGATATTAAATGGTTCAGGTCTTCTACGATATAAAGCAATCATTGAATCCCTACAGTGTGGGAACAGGCCATTTGGCTCAACAAGCCCACTCTGAAGAGCACCCCACACAGACCTAACCTACCCCTGTAACCCTGCATTTCCCACAGCCAATGCACCTAACCTACACATCGCTGGACACTATGGGTAATTTAGCATAGGCCAATCCTCCTAACCTGCACATTGTTGGACTGTGGGAGGAAATCAGAGCACCCGGAGGAAACCCATGCAGACACAGGGAGAATATGCAAACTCCACACAGGCAGTCACCCGAGGCTGGAATTGAACCCACGTCCCTGTAGCTGTGAGGCAGTAGTACAACTACTGAGCCACCGTGCTGCCCAGCCTTTATATTGCTGATCATGAGCCATCATCAATGGTTGGGAAAAACCCATCTGGTTCACTAATGCCCCTTTAGGGAAGGAGACTGCCACCCTTACCTGGCCTGGCCTACATGTGACTCCAGACCCACACCCATGTGGTTGGCTCAGTTCTGAAGAAGGATCACTGGGCCCGAAACGTTGACTCTGCTTTCTCTCTGCAAACGCTGCCAGACCTGCTGAGTTTCTCCAACAACTTCAGTTTGTGTCTCAGATTTCCAGCAAATGTAGATCTTTGAGTTTGATTTTTGGTTGACTCTTAACTGCCCTTGGAAATGCCCCAACAAGCCACTTAGCTCAAGGGCAATTAGGGCTAGGCCATAACTGTTGGCTTTGCTGGTAGTGCCTACATCCCATGGAAGAGTAAAGTAAACAAAAGGCAGAGGGTGACCATTTTGCTCATTGACTCGGTGCTAGCTCTTTTGAAGAGAGATCATATGAGTTCCACCATCCAACTTCATCCCCTTCACCCCATGTTGTTTTCTGCCTCAAAATATTTATCCAATTTGTGGATTATTTATCCAATTATCAATGAAATCCTTTACCACAGAGGGCTGCCTCATGAAGTATAGCCAAGGTTGAGATCAACAGATTTTTATTGAGTAAAGTTATGGGGGAAAAGGCAGGAAAATGGAGCTGAGGATTATCAGATCAGCCATGATCTTATTGAATGGAGGAGCAGACTCGATGGGCTGAATGGCCTACTTCTATTCCTATGGTGTTATTTCCTTTTGAACCCTGTTGCTGAACTGAAAGGAAACACTCCTTCAAGCGATGCATTCCAAATTCTACCCACTCATTGCCAAAAGATGATGTTTCCTCTTGGCACCGCCGTCTATTTTGTCAAAACCCTTTAATCTGCGGCCCCTTTATTGATGTTACAGCCATTGGAAACAGTCTTCCTCTATTGACTCTATCTAAACCCTTAACAATTTGAAACATCTCCGCCACATCTTCACATAGCTTTCTCTTGTTGTAATCCCTTAACCTTGGAACCATACCAGTCACATTCTCCTGTATTCATATTCCTCCCTTCCCATACAACTCCTTGCCCGGTCCCTACAGCGGAGCTACCTCCAACATTCCTTATAACCGTTCTACACTTTTAAACTTAAATTCTAAATCTGTAAAAACTACTCTTAAGTTTTTTTTCACCCTATGATCAGTATGTCCTTGCTTACTATGTTCTGCCTGTAATGCTCATAAACAAAACTTTTCACTGTTCTTAGTACACACAACAATAAATCAATCAAAGATAGTAGGAACTGCTGATGCTGG